TTAACTAAATTTAGTTAACTATTCGGCTAATTTGATTAATAATTTAGCAATTATTAATAAAAAAAATTTATTTTTAAAATACTAACTTATCGGCCGGATTCCCACTTTTTGACCATGCATATTTATTAATGACATAATTAAGTTTATGCACTTACAAATTAAACTAGCATGGCCAACTTTCCGTATCGAGAAATTCTTTCTAAAAGTGACTACAGTTCCCTTTCCCGGCTGTAAAACTTTGTATTTACTTACAACCGCAAAAGTTTTGTCTTCATTTTGTTTAGTATACGGAATAATTTCATTCAAATATTCATTCATTTTTCCCAAACCTGAGTAGAGATTGTCAATGGATTCTGAGTTAAGAGTTGTATTAATGAATGCTTTTTAAGATGACACTCTTCGAGACTTTCTTTTCTATGCTTTCGACGGCTTTGCGTCGGAAGTCGAGTTTGAGGTCTTATTTGACGTCTTGTCGGCTGCCTTCGTGTCAGACTTGACGACAGAAACGGCTCTTTTCGGGCCTTAAGGTTCTTTCAATGATCTCTATTATGGCTTTCGTCGCCTCTTCTGGATCTAAACCTTCGCCATCAGATTCTTCGAAACTTTCATTATTAACAGTTATTGAAGTTTTCTTTACTTCTTTCGGTTTCTTAAATTTCTTCTTTTGTTTAGAAACCTTATCGTCGTTTTTAGAGTCGACAGCTTTGGCACACTTATCAGTCTTCGCTTTAATTATATCTTCGGGTGAAGTGATGTCTAAACTTAATATTCGGTACTTTTCTGACCAATGGTTTGTGTTTTGCAGTCATATGTAACAAACAATATATTTGCTTTATTTATACTGTCGTCGAAAATATGTAATAATTTGATTTCATTTTTAACATTCGTGTCAATTGTGTCGAAAGTGTGAAGTTTATCCAAAAGGGCGCACATATTCACTAAATTATATTAAATAAAAAAGTGATTTCAATAAAATGACTGAAACTTTTAACTAAATGTTGATGATATGAGTTGAATGACAAATATTATGGCAATTTGTGGCGTAACTTAAAATGAAGTCTCATTCACTAATAAATATAATTAATAATCTTAGTTTTATTCGGATGAGTTTATTTATTTATTGACCATTAAATTCCACTCTTTTGACGGCATATATCTGTTCATCAATTTTATGCTTCACTTTAAACACAGTTCCGAAACCTCCCGAACCTATGGGCTTATCCGACAACTCAGTGAATTGATTTTTGTAAAGATTTTCATCTGGATTAGTTTCTATTTGTGAATATTAATTAAATATTTTTAAAGTTATTAATGATAAATATGAATATTCAATTATTTAATAAATTATTACTTTTACGTAAATTAGGTTTTTTATTTGATATATTTATAAGAGTAAATAATTTAAATAAATTTGATTTGGGTTTGAGTTGAGGTTTTGTTTGACCAGATTTTGGGACCACATCTGGGTTTGGGTTTAATTGCAGTTTTGTTTCATCAATCGATGACAACATTTGTGTCATTAATATGTATTGTATTATAAGTTATTTCGTATTCATTGGAATAAAAGTCAATAAAATTATTATAATTATATGTTTTCAAATTATATGGTGAAGTCAATTCGCAAATTTTATTACCATTTGTATTATTAATGGGTTGTCACCTAAATATGAATTTATTTCACTAAATTGTTGCACATTTAATTCTATTGGAATTTGCACCAGTGTCATTTGTGTCATCAATATATTCGCCACAAAAGTATATCATATTATTTGTCGACAGAAAACACGTAAAATAATTATCCACTGATTGTGTTGAACACCTGATTGCCTTGATATCATGTAATTGTGGAATTGGTCTGGGTGATATATAAATATCACCGATATTATGTCCCAATAGATACCTATAATTATTACCCCAACTAAATACCATACCATCGATAGTAATGGCAAATGATTTATCCATTGAACAGAATATACTTTTTATTTTATAAATAAATTAATTTTTTCGAAATGATATCAAAACCGGTGACGAGATTAGTTTGTTTTCATTATCACCGCAACCTATCCGTCCGTCACTATTACAGCCCCACCCGTACACCTGTCCACCGGTGGTGAGGGCGAGGGAGTGATAACTACCACAACTGATTTGCGTTATATTTTTGTCATTCAAATACCATATCTCTTGTGGTTTTAAATAAACATTTATTTTAGTTACTTTTCGACCCAACTGTCCCTCATCATTGTGTCCCCAACTGAACACATGGTTGTCCTCATTCATAGCCAACATAAAGTCCGAGCCATTGATAAACTGTCGGATCCGTTGTCCACACAATTGGGGTATGAGTTGTGTTTCCACTCTATAATTGTGACCCAAACCCAGAAATCCCCATAAATTATAACCAAAGCCGTAGACGGAGTCATTTGTTGTGACAAAGAGTACACTTGTATTGTTAAATGTAAACTGGAAACATGCAATCATTTGATCTCATGTTTAAGTTTTGTGTCAATCGTATCACAGATGCGAAACTTTTCTATAATAGTAGACATTTTCAACACAATTACAATTAATTAAATAATTTTGTTATATTTAACAACAAAATAATGTTAATTGCTTTAAATCACTAAAAATGTCTGTATTGTGAGCGTTGTCTTAGTTATAGTGATTTGATATGAATTCACATGAAATGATTATATTGTATGTGTTTTATATTTCTAATATAGTTATATGTTTTATAAAGTATTCAAATAGTTTTGTAGCATTTCCAATAAAATAATTATCACAATTAATAACCATTGGTTACAAAGATATGTTTTGCCAGATAACTTAAGTATTTTAACCTTTTATTTACTGATAAAATTACACTTAAATGAAAAAATATTTTTATAAACTGTGCAAATAATAAATAATAAGCACGATGTCAAAGAGAAAATATTGTTTCTAAAATTCATATTGATAAACAATGATTCTAATGATATTACCAGAAAATTATTTTTCAAACTAAGGATTAATGAATTATGGATGTTAATATTATCATATTTTAATATTAAATTGCAGGATAAAGACAAATGATAACTAAATAATTTCTTCTCTAAATTATAGACATATTAGTCCACAGAGCCCTTTATATTACTTTATATAACTTTGGAAATTTATTATTATAAATAACAATACAATATTAGTAACAACAGGGTCTAAATATCCAATTGGAGATAGAGCATATATCATTTGTCCATTAATTACAATACTTTATAAACAGTTTAGTTTGTCTGTAGTTTTGATATTAAGTTATATAAACTCAAAGAATTAACTATTTTTTCCGTTATATATTTATTGCTCCAAAACGGATAATCCAATCCTAATCCTCTCTTCACGGATTTATAGCCCCTACTTTGTGGATTGTAAAAATAATTTTTATTGTATNTATATATTTATTGCTCCAAAACGGATAATCCAATCCTAATCCTCTCTTCACGGATTTATAGCCCCTACTTTGTGGATTGTAAAAATAATTTTTATTGTATTAAAATCTACCTTGGTAATTGCGCCATTTAAGTTTGCAAAAAAGAGGTTTTTCCATTGAAAATACATTGGTTTTGGTCATAGACAATGCATTGTAAAAAATTGGTGTTTGTGAACTCCATTTATTCCTAAACTAACCATGATAAAATTATTCAATTTAAAGAGAATTTGTAGAATTTGGTTTTGATTATTTTCTCGAAGACATTATTTCTCTACACTATGTTTAAGGGAATAAATAATCATTGTTTGTACAGCACAAACTATACTAGATAAAATTGATCTGATAACTGGATTAGAAAGATAATTCAAAATTAGCGAGTACGCACTTCAGGAACTTTTTTATTAACATCAAATTTAAATATTTAATTAAAGAATTTAATGTTTAAAATAAAATTTTACATAAATTATAGATTTATAATAGTAATCACTAAGAAATGTTAATGTTAATTTAATAATTTAATGTTAATAAAAAATTCCTGAAATAGGTACTCGCTCATTTTAAATTATCTTTCAAATCCAGTTATCAGATTAATTTTATCTAGTAGAGTTTTTGCTGTAAATACAATAGCTGTTTATTCCCTTAAACATAGTGTAGAAACATAATGTCTTCGAGAAAATAATCAAAACAAAATTCTACAAATTCCCTTTAAATGGAGTAATTTTATCATAGTTAGTTTAGGAATAAATGGAGTTCACAAACACCAGTTTTGTATTATGCATTTTTTGTGACCAAAACTAATGTATTTCAATGGAAAAACCTCGTTTTGAAAACTTAAATAGCGCAGTTACCGTGGTAGTTTGTATACAATAAAAATTATTTTTACAATCCACAAAGTAGGGGCTATAAATCCCTGAAGAGAGGATTAGGATTGGATTATCCGTTTTGGAGCAATAAATATATAACGGAAAAAATAGTTAATTCTTTGAGTTTATATGTATACTGTATTTAAAAATTAATTAATTAAAACTTGAATTCATAATATAATTCATAATATAATTACATCAAATTCTTACAATAATTAACTGGACAATAATCATAGATAAAACAAGTAATTTAAATTAATAAAAAAAACATTTTATATTACATTGAACGGAAAGTCTTTACAAACTTTGAACCCTATGATAACTTCTTATCTATTAGATTATATTTTTAAGTAAATGTTTATATATGTTCAATTGTTTGTCTACTGCGTAATAATGGAGTATCACTTTGTTAAATTAATCCATTTATTTTTGGCATTAAAAAATGTCATCAATGCCCCTGATTTGCCCAATTTGCAAGAACTTCGCGATGTTTCACGTGAAGAACAGAAAGCGTTTATAAAGATATAGTTAAAATCATATGACCCTGAGGATGCTAGACAAAGTAGCGAATGGTTGCTCCTTGGTCAAAAGCCGTAAGTACAAAAAATTTTAAAAATTGTTATTTGTTCAAATTTCAAACTCACCGGATTTCTATCTTACTTATCACAGACTAAAGAAATTGCGTGCAGAGTTTCAGCAATGGAAGTGCATAATGATCGTGGCACTTTGGAAGAAGCAAGTCTTTACATATGAGATATTACCCAATGGACAAACCGAAGACAGTGGTGTTTATCTTAAGTTTCTTGAACGTCGAGTGCTCCCGGAAGTTACTCGCAAGAAAAGCCTATTATCTTACATGACAATGCTAGACCCCATAAACATCGAATAGTTCGGGAGTTTTTACAAGAAAATCGTTGGGAGAAATTAGAACACCCGCCATATAGTCCTGATATGTCACCGCCGGATATGGATGGGATATATCGTATAAAAGCTCCTAATAAGGGTAAGCAGTTCCAGAATCAAGATGAGGTAATTCGCGATTATGAAGCAACAATTCGGGACATTAGTCAAAAGCATGCATCACTTGTTATTAGTATGCTGCCTGACCGCTAGCGTGCCATAGCACTGACTCGCGGTAATTACATTGATTGATGGTAAAATAAAAATTTATTATCTTGTAACACTTCCAAAATATTTGAAAAATAAAATTTGTAAAGACTTTCGGTTCAATGTAATACATACAATGAATTGAATGAATAAATGACACTGGTGAGAATCCACTCATAAATCGGCATTCATTTCAGTCTCTCGAAGGTTTAAATCCTAAACTCTAGCTATATTTGAATCCAGGTGCCCATACCGGCCAATATTGACATATCGATTGATTGTCCGATTATTCGTGTCTCTTATGGTGTATATAAGTTATATGCTATGACAAATATCTTACACCAGTTTAATAGTTATTTATCATAATTATAAATAAAACACTGTACCTTGGTTGGTTATTTTAATAATTTTTGTGAATTATTTTTTTAAATATTGAGAAAAATAATACTTATAAAGGTTCCTGATAAATAAAGAAAATCTTATGTTTGATGATAATCTCAGCCAATTGTTCCGGCTCAATTCAAGTGTATAAATAAGTGTTTATAAAATGTATAAATTACATCTGCACCAAAATGTAACAAAATCATGCTTGAATATTTTTAAAAAATTCTTATATTAAATAAAATAGTTATAATTATGATTAATAAATAAAATATTGTAATCTTATTACATTGGAATGAATATAGCGCTAAACCCATTATCAAATGAATACAATCAGTATTGTTATCAATAGTCTATATAATAGTCGAATAACTTTGTTTTTATGTGAGCTTAAAGTATATCATACACTCATAATATCGTAACATTTCTATGGAATCGTATAAAGTTTATCACATTTTCCATAACAACACCAAACATATCATAATACAATTGATCGACATTATGAGTTATTGTAGATTAAAAAAATTAAAACATTTTAATTCAATGTTTAAATGGGTATTAGATTCTTGAAATTCTAAACATAAAACTTAATTTTTTGTAATTTGTGTGAAAAATGTCTACACTTTTGGATAATTTTCGTATTTGCGATACGATTGACACGACTATTAGACATGAAATCAAATTATTTCATGTTTTCAAAGACAAAAATGCTGAAAATAATATGCTATTTGTCACAAACAATGACACAGTCTATGGATTGGGTGCTAATAGTTATGGATATCTGGGTTTTGGTCATGACATGGATGTAAAAACACCACTAATTATACGGGAATTGTGTGGACAACGGATCCAACAGTTTATCACTGGATATGACTTTGTGTTGGCTATGAATGAAGACAACCATGTGTTCAGTTGGGGACACAATGATAGAGGACAGTGTGCTAGAGATGTGACACCAATTGGTGTGTACTTAAAACCACAACTAATATCACAATTAAATGACAAGAATATCGCATATTTTTGTTGTGGTGCTTGGCATTCCCTGGCGATCACGACCGATGGAAAGGCGTACGGGTGGGGCTACAATATTTGGGGACAAATAGGATGTGGGTACTTTGAAAATAATATAATGTGTTCACCAGTTTTGATACAATTTGAAAACAATCATAAGATGAAAAATATATTTTGTGGTTTCGCGAGTTCATTCACAATTACTTTAAATGGTTTGGTATTTAGTTGGGGGAATAATAGTGACCATCAATGTGGACATGAATCACCAAAAAACATTTTGACCCCCAAATTGATTCCACAGTTAAATGATATCAAATCTATTTGTTCGGCAATTATGCCTGAAAATAATTTCACATGTTTTCTATCCAATAGTAATATAATTTATTTTTGTGGCAAATATATTGATGACATGAAACAAGTCCAAATAGAAATACTACCCAGACCAATTTTAATGAAATTAAACGTTCAACAGATTGATGAAATGCATTCATTTGATGATCGAAATGTAGTATTAATACAAACTGATGACACAATTTGCGCACTTTTCTCACCAACAAAAGTGCAAAACACAAAATATAATAATTTTATAGATTGTTATGCAGCTGAATGGCAACGAAGTTATAATACACTGCATATAAATATGAACATGGTCACAAATCTCTCTGAATCTGTAATGAAAACAAATAAAACGCCAAATGTTAAACCAAAACAATATAATACTAATACAAATGAAGGTATTTTTTTATTTCTTTTATTTTAAATAAATAATATTATTGTTGTATTTGTTATAATTAATATATTTTATTTACAAAATAGTTGTAACAAAATTGGGACATAATTGGCATGAAAACCATTACAAAAGTCTGTTCATTGAGTTGTCGGCCATCGGTTCCGGAGGTTTTGGAACCGTATATAAAGTAAAGCACAGAATCGATGAACACATATATGCCGTCAAAAGAGTCCNATAAAGTAAAGCACAGAATCGATGAACACATATATGCCGTCAAAAGAGTCCAAATTAAAGGTATTATAAAATGGAAAATAATTTTTAAAACTATTTTGAATTATTTCAGACTTTTCTGAGGAATACTTACAACGAGTCTATAATGAAGTGAAAACATTAGGAAAACTAAGTCCAGAATATTGTGTTCAGTATTACAACTCATGGCCTGAAGACAAACACCTCTACATTAAGATGGAGTTCTGTTCACAGAATCTGCGGAATATTCTTGAAGTGAAACCACAAGTATTTGGTCGACAATTAGGGGAAGCCATGGATTGTGTCGAGTATTTAATTTCGTGTGAAATATTGCGACAAATCTTAGAAAGTGTTCAGTATTTGCATGAATTGAATCCACAGATCATTCATAGAGACCTCAAACCGGAAAATATATTGATTGCTGAAAATGTAAGGAACGGTAGATTTGTTAAGTTATGCGACTTTGGTATGGCTGTCGAGCATTTGTTAGCTAATGAGAGTCACTCAAAAGGTAAAGGAACTCCTAAATATATGGCCCCAGAATTGCATCAATCAAAGTATACACCAAAAGTAGACATTTATAGTTTGGGTACACTTTCTATGGAATGGTTTGATATTATATTAGAGTAAGTATTCAATAGTAATTGTATTTGTAATTAATTTTTAAAAAAAATCATTTATTAATTTCAGTGGAAGTGAACTGGTTAAATATAAAAGCACAATACTACAAGAAAGCATTATATCTATACTAGATGTTTTTAGACTAATGGTTAACTATGAGTCATACCTTAGGCCAGAGTGTAAAGATATATTAAATAAATTTGATAAATGGTCACTAAGCAAGGACATTATAGACTCAAATATTGGTGCATTTAATAAATTCATAAATCAACACAATTCCGAAGATATGGTTTTTAAAAAGATAATAATAACACATAAATTAAAAATGGAAAAAATAAGCAATGTAAATCCAGTCTCGCCACATCATGAAAATATAAAACCCCCAGCAAATACAGGTAATCTAATATAATTTGTAATTGAGCAAGAATATATAATTTTGTTTACAATGAATAGGTGCCATCCCTAAGAGGATGTCGAGTAGTATATCACGTAATACTGAGTCTAATGTCTCGACCGGATATATAAGTAGTATTCGCGAAAAATTTGAAAAGTTGTTCCAAAACCGCAAAACTGAGAAATAAAATATCAAAATATTCTCCAATAAAATGTTATTTAATATATTATTAATGTTATACAGTAGTGTTATTTAGTGCCTTAATATACAATATATTTTGAATTATCATATGCTTAATGTAGCAAAAATATAGTACTGTAGATATAATTATGAATAAAATTTTGAGAATCCACTCATAAATCGCCATTCATTTGAGTCTCTCGAAGGTATACCTCTTCTCTACCTCTTCTGAATTTTGCCAAAACATTGGACATCAATGGACTGCAAATGCAAACAAATTAACATTTTATTAGTTATTATTTCATCAATTTATTTGAATATAATAAATGACACAATACTCACACTTTTCTC